TCTCTGAGGGGGGTAAAGTTTCCCCCCCTATCATCAAAGATGGAACAAGATGCACAAATCGGGATGACAGAAACCATAGCCACTCAGTCTTGGAGGGATTGAGCTTGAGCCTGTTCCTCCCCATCCAGATCCACACAGCCTCCAGGCATCGGGACATCATATCGAGGGCATCGTTTGAGTGGTTTGGGGTAGAGATGAAAAGTTGGGTATCAACAGCATACTGATGATACCATATCCCAAAACCACGGATGATCTCGTTCAGCAGTTTCATATATATGTTGAACAGGAGGGGTGAGAGAAACGACCCCTGGGGCACCCCACAAGTGACGTGCCTTGGGGTCGATCCCTGTCCTCCCGTCAACATGAACTGCGACCGATCCGACAGGTAGGAGGAGAACCACTGCAAAACGGTGCCTCCCCACTCCCAATCTCCCGAGTCTTCACAGTAGGATACCATGGTCAATGGTATCGAAAGCTGCCAAGACATCTAATAGAACCAGGACAGAGGAGCATCCCCAGTCCCGGGCCCGCCAGAGATCATCAACCAATGCGACCAATGCCGTCTCAGTGCTGTACCCAGGCCTGAAATGCGACTGAAACGGATCCAGGTAGGCAGCTTCATCCAGGTACTGGGGAAGCTGACGTGCTACCACACTCTCGACAACCTTCGCTACAAAACAAAGGTTGGAGACCGGAAGATAGTTGGCTAAAGAGGCTGGGTCCAGGGAAGGCTTCTTAAGGAGAGGCCTCACCACCGCCTCCTTCAAGGCGGTGGGAAAGAACCCGAAGCGTTGGTAATCGCTTGGAGCCAGCCTTGTTATTGATCAAAGAGTAATTTAAGTTTCTGTTTTTTAAAATCTTATTTATGGCTATGTAGATTATATCCTGAGATGTCTCTTCAGTTAGCTACCTGATGGTGTATCACTAACTAGGAGTCCTTCCATGACAACCATGGACTTGACCCAGGTAATTCAGGGGCCGACTCATACAGCGGGTCACACACTCGACCTTGTGTTTCTCTCGGGACAGTGGAGACGTGATCTGGAACTGAAGGGCATTGAGATCTCGCCCTTGTCATGGTCAGATCACTTCCTACTGAGGCTTGATTTTTGGAAACTACTCCGTCACTGCAGGGAGGAGGAACCGATTAGGTGGTTCCGCCCCAAGCGCCTGATGGACCCTTTGGGATTTCAGACGGCGCTTGGAGAGATATCGGACTCGGTTGCCCACAATCCGGCAGAGTCCTTGGTCGCTGCCTGGAATACAGCGGCGGCCGAGGCTCGGGACCGGATCGTGCCTTTGTGGCCTCTCCATGGCAGTGGATCCAGGAGGGCCCCTTGGTTTACCAAGGAACTCTGGGAGATGAAGCGCCAAAAGAGACGTCTAAAGCGACGTTGGAGGGCTAGTAACTCTGAATCTGACCGAACACAACTAAGAGCCTTCATTAGGACTTATTTAGTGGCGATACGGGCGGCAAAATGTGCTCATTTTTCCACTCATATTGCATCCGCAGAATCTCGCCCGGCTGCCCTGTTTAGGATAACCCGCTCCCTCCTGAAAGGGAGGGATGTGGGAGAGCCCT